ATTATTACGAGTTACGCTAAATCTACAAGAATCCATATGGTGTGTGTTCGCACTTCGCACACAAATTAGGCATGCGAGGTGTGACTAAGACAATTTTTAGGTAGATAGACAAATCTACCCTTTGTGAGACTTATGTAGAAAACGTTACCCTTCGTTTAACTTCCTCCAAATGCAAATCTCTCTCTCTCTCTCTTCCCAACATTGATTTTGCTTTAGTTCAAGTTTTTTTTTTGGGGGGGCAAAATCTAGTTTACCTCCTTGTGGTTTGATCATTTTGCACATCACCTCCTTGTGGTTCAAAAATCAGCACATAACCTTCTTGTATTTTTGGACTAAAATGCATAACTAACACCGTTAATGACAGTGGCAAAAAGACCACCTTACCTCTTTAAAATCTAAATAAACTTTATCACCACATCTTCTTCAATCCCACTACATCTTTACCTACCGTTCAACTCTGCATTAAATCACTAGTCATTGGCCATCACCACTAAATCACAACTGCTCATAAAAACTAGTTTTTATTTTTGTGATAAAAATTAAAAAATATAAAACATGTTTGGATAATTATTTATATTTAAAAAATTATAAAAAAATAAAAATAAAAAACATGTTTGGTATTTTATCCAAAATCAACCACCCAACACTACTTAGTCCCACCACCAACAACCACCTAACCTCACCACAAACCACCCCCCCCCCCAAACCCCTTGCAATCCACCACCCACCACCCATACCGAAAACCCACCCTCACCAACAACAACCCAACACTATCGAAACTCCCACTCTTAAACCCCACGAAAAACCAATCCCAACACCCCTCGAACCCCTCACACCACACCCAAAACCCACCCCTGAAACCCCCACCAAATCCCCGAAAATCCACTTCCAACACCCCTTAAAATCCATTCAACACCCCCTGAAAACTCACCCCAAATCCTCGAAAATTCACTTCCAACATCCCTGAAACCCACCCCCAACAGCCACTAAAAAAACCCCCCACCATCCCCACCAAAAATCACAAGAACAATTACAAGAGAGAGAGGAGGAGGAGGAGGAGGAGGCGAGAGCTAGAGAGGCACAGAGATGAGAAAAGGGAAAAGTGAAATGAGAAATGAGGAAGAAAAGATCATTTTTGGTTTTCTCTGACGAGAAAGAGAGGGACATTTATATTATGTTTAGACTTTTAGATTATATGTAGACAAAGATAAAAAAAAATGTTTTTTTGAAAGATCACAGGGATATATTTGGACTTTTAGATTGAGTTTTGACTCTGACTTAAATTTTTTACATTCATACTTGCAAATCTAGCACGTGTGTTATAATTTCTGTCACTTTTGACAGAAGTAATAACGATCGCACTTTAGTCCAAAAACAAAAAGGGCCTATGTGCTAATTTTTGAACCAAAAGGATGTGATGTGCAAAATGACTAAACCACAAGGGGGTAAACTAAATTTTGCCCCTTTTTTTGACACATTTTTTCTGTTATGGTGTGTGAAACGAGAGTGGATTGATGGTGGTGATGTATCGCATGTAAAGTTGGTGGTGTGTATATGATAGTGGTGTGGTAGCGGTGCTTTATGTGCAGTGTGTATAGTGTGCACTAACATTGGTGCATTAGTGGTGGTGCAATGGAGTTGTATTTTGTGAAGTGCGGTGGTGTTAATGAGTTGCCATTTGGGGTAGTGCCCATGGTAACTTTATAATGGTGGTGATAGTGGTGGTGTCAGTAATTGTGGAGTATGGACAACAATTATATTGGTTGTGTAATATAGTTTGAAGGTGTGATAATCGAAGCGATGGTTATGCAATGTGCTTGAAAATGTGGTGGCAATGATGGTTGTGTTATTTTCGGATATTGAGAGTTGAATTGAAACTATAGGGCCTATTTGATTTGCATTTCAAAAAATTTTATCCGAAAACAGTTTTTCAGAAGAGTTTTAAGAAAGTGGTTTTGATATTTTTTGAGATAAAAAACTTGTTTGGTTAAATGATTTCAAAAACAATTTTATAATACAGAAAATAGTAAAACCTGTTTGGACAGCCTAAATATATATTTGAACAATAATTCAAACATTAATAAAAAAAATATAAAAAAATTATTTTTAAATTGACAAATTCATAAAAAAAAATTCAATAAACCAAACTTTAAAATATATATATATTGTTTCTCTTGTTTTCTATTTGTTTGATTCAAATCTCATTTTTTTTCAAAATTTAGAGAATAAAAATGCTAAACAAATAAATTTTGAGTGTTTTTGAAATTTTGAGAACAAAAAACTGTTTCCGAAATGATAATCAAACATTGCCTATAGATTCTCGTATCAAGATTGTGTTTTCGTTCGCTGTGTGATTTGAGTTTGAATGATGTGTTTCGTAAGGATTTTTTGGTTATGGAGCCAGTAATGGATGCGGAGTTGGTTAAGCCAACAAAACAAATAAAAAAAAAACATATTTTGGAGGCAATAGAGGGTATTTTGGTGTTTTTTGATGTTCATCACAAAAACCTAGAAAAGTTTAACGGAGTATTATGTATTTGAGTCCAAATTTAGCTGTGTTTTGTGTAATTTACTCTTATTTAATGGCATAATATATTTTATGGGCACAATATATAGATTCCCAACTAAAAAATATATATATGTATAGTTGTTATGCATTATTATTCAAAATGGGGTCACCACAAAAAGATTAGACAATTTGCTCTAATTTATTGTTTTAATGTGAAAATTATTCACTGTCTCCTACAAATTTTTGGTTGGGAAAATAAAAAACTGATATATGCAATTTTATTATTACGGTAAAAATAATATTTGATCCCTGAATTTTATCTTTTGTTTCAATTTGGTCCGTGAACTTTCAATGGTCCTAATTTAGTCATTCAACTATCAATTTCGTTTTAATTAAGTCATTCAATCAATTTTTATTGTTAGATCAAGTGGAGACTATCTCAATCTAATCCATTACAACATTGATTTAATGATGAAAATAGATGAAATGACTTAATTGAGATTAAATCTAATAATTAAAAGATGAAATTAAGATAATTAAAAGTTCAAGGAACAAATTAAAAATGAAAATAAATTCACGGATCAACTATAATTTTTATCCTTATTAAGTTTGATTCACCTTTATAGACTCTTTATGTGTAGAGTAACAAAGTGTCCATCTAATCGCCTCCATAGATTTACAAAGGGAGAAATTTTGTGTAGTCTGTTAGCAATACAACCAACGTTATTAAATAATCTAGTAACTCGAGCTCGGATCAATTTTGGCTCATTCAAGTTATAACACAAACTAAACTTGATCTAATTTATTAGCTTATTTTATAAATGAACCGAACTCAAACAACGTGGGGACTTTCACTAAAATAGGCTCGCCATAACTTTGAATGGATCTCTTTTTATTCGTTGTTTTTGGGTCTTGTTTTCAAAACAATTTATTTTATATAAAATAAAAACACAAATTCAAACACGTTTTTCGTTTTTATTTTTCCAAAAAAGTGAAAATAAAAAAATTAAACACGAAATAAAAACGTGAACCAAACACCTAAATAACTCTAAATTTTGTCCCAAATAGCTACAAGATCACATGGATTTCACTCTTCCTCTCTCCCCCAATAGACTTTTGATAAATTTAAATATTAAAGCTTTGTATTTTGAAATAACTTGATCAGGATATGGATTATCCTAGAATCGACTATTAATTTATAAACTTAAAAGTATTTAAAAATTTTACTAAAAAACTAAACTCGATTTCAACTTCAATACTTACAAACTTTAAATGAAAATTTGAACTCGATAACTGAATACATTTTAGGAAAAAATTTATCAATAAGTCTTATTTTTCCTTCTAAAGAACTATTAAATTCTATCACGTTTAACTTAGGACAATTAAAATCTACTTTTGATAATTTATTCCCAAGATATCCTATACTCCATTAATAGAACGTTTTCTTATAATTTTATCCTTCTCATTAACACACTAATTATATTTTTGTCAATAATATTTGTTATTGGATCCAAAGCAAATTATTTTTTTAATTACTGAATAACACCCAAAACACGTAATTAAAAATAAAGACTTATAAAAATGATAAATCATACAACTCTATTTTTTCTTGTATTTAAATTTTTTAAGCATGTATAATTCGATTCACTCGACTATCAAATCTCATAAAAATATACAATTACATAAATTAATAATATAAAAACTAATCTATGAATACATTCATTATGAAAATTTTATCTAATTGTGCTTATTTTTATTTCTCCTTCCAAGTTTGAATTAATTAGAAAAAAATCATTGTTTTAAGGCAAAAATTCAAGCGTTCAAAGCTATAACGTTTTATTTAAGAGATAAAATAAAAAATATTTATTTATGTAATAACTTTTATACTATATAACATCCACTCACATATAAACTCTTACATGTTAATAAGGTGGATGCTTTGATAACTAAATTTATGCCTATTGGATTTTAATTTAAGATAAAAAAAAATTACATTTCAATAAATAAATTAAATAAAATTATAAACAAAAATATAATTTGTGCTTTCATGAAAATGACAAAATTTCAACAAAACAAATCATTAATGGAGTTTAAGATTTCTTAGGAATAAATTATCAAACATAGGATTTCATTATTCCAAAATAAAAATAATAAAACTTAATAATACTTTGGATAAAAAAACAGAATTTATTGGTGTTTTTCCCTAGAATTTAAAACTCTCGTTTCTAAGGCTACTAATTGAGTCAAACTTTACAATTTTGAGTTGAACTTGTCGATAAGCTAATTTTAAATAACTCGATTATTTTATATGTAAATGAATCAAATTTTATGAATTCGAATGAAACTTTTTTTAGACACATTTTTTTAAATAAGTTTGAAAAATTGTAGAAACTCGCCCTAGTCACTTTGGAGTTACCTAACAATCCTTTTTGTTTTTTTTTAAGGAAACTGGACCAAACAGTCCTCTACATACGGTCTGCTTCGATCTAAGCGCATGCATTGTATTACGACTCCTCTCTCTCACATACACACACTCGCTCTGGCAGGGTCAGCACGAAAGGTCAAAGACAAAGGCTGAATGAAGTGAAGAGAAGTGATAAGAATGGAGGGATCTTCGTATCGGCATCAAAGGTTAAAGAGTGGTGTTTCTCAGGAACCATGGATTAGATGATTTCATGCTTGGGTGAATCATGGTTGGTGAACTATTTTGTGATCCGCCTGTGTTCTGATCTTTCAATGGTTAGATTTGGGGTTCGTTACGCAATATTAGGGCTTATCTTGATAATTTTGACATGCTCAATCCAAACATTATGTATTATTTTCTTAGGTTTTTTGGCTTGTTTATATATTGAATTTCAGAACTTTTTCTTCCCTCTCTGTGAAATGTAGGTGGAATGTCATGATTTCGTTCGCTTCCTGGCAAAACCCTTTGTTTGTAACTCAATCCTTCACATTTTAGAATTTAGTTAAGTAGATTTATTTCTGGATTTCTTTTGTAGTTTTGGGGTTTTCCCTTTTATTCTCTATGCTGTGTTCGGCGGAATGGAACTGAGCTTTTGACATCAGAATTAAGAAAATTATACTTAAAGGTTCGAATTAACTCCCTCAATTCCGTTTTAAGTCTGAATCACACACTCCCAAAAGCAGCGTCAATGTTCCTAAGGTTTCAGCTTGATTGTAATTTGTGACGGTGGGTTGAATTTCATAATGCAATTAGCATCCTTTTTTGACAACCCCATGAAAAAACTTTGTGTTGTTGCTTGTGTCATTTGGTATTGCTTCCCTGCATTTAGAACTTTCTTGGTATAGACTTGTTTGCTGTAAATTTTGTGGAAGTCCTTTGTTTTGAGATTTTATCTATATTGATGCTTCCAAATGTGGTTCAATTTATTCATAACTGCAGGTCTACTTTCATTATGCAGTTAGTATCCTGACAACCCCACTTTGTTAAGAAGCTTCACAATTGTTGTTGATGCCGTATTTTAATTACTTTTCTGTGTAGTAGTAGAACTTGGTTCAGCTTCTGACTTGCTTCGTGCATTATTCCACCATTGGTCTAGAGATGGCCACAAAGAGGATTATAGCTATATGTATGTCTGGAGGTGAGTTCGCGACAGACAATGATGGTGGGCTGTTGTCATACAAAGGTGGGGATGCCTATGCGATGGACCTTGATCAGGATACAAAGTTAAAGGATCTGAAGGAGGAACTAGCTGAAACATTCAATTGTAGTGTCAATAGAATGTTAATCAAGTACTTTCTTCCTGGAAAGTCAAATAAAAGGACTCTTATTACGATATCAAAGGATAAGGACCTCAAGCGCTTGGTGAACATTTTTGAGGATAAAGACCAAGTGGAGTTCTTTGTCATGGAAGAGGAAGCTGTTCAGGTGCAAAAGGTGTTGAAAGCACCTGCCAGTAGGTACTTATTATTCTTTGGTCCACCTTAAGGGTAAATTTTTTCAGTAAGACATATGTTACTCTATGTGCATAACTTCAGGATTCAGTTTTGTTCACAATTGCAGAGACATCCCAGTGCTTGTGGTTGTTTATACTTTTCATTTGCCTAAAATGAAGCTCATGGAATTTACACAGCATAATGCCCCTTGTTCATTGTTGTGCTCCACGACATAACTGATTTTTGGCATCATGTGCATGAAGCAGCATGAAATATACCTGTCCATTAGTTTGAACCTTATGACACTCAATCACGCAGGTCAAAAAAGAAAACTGTGTCAAAAGAAATGGTTCTGGCACCTGCATCAGAAGTGGCTCCGACAATTGTGTCAGAAGATGTTGTTCCGTTAACTGTGTCAGAAGATGTTGTTCCGTTAACTGTGTCAGAAGATGTTGTTCCGTTAACTGTGTCAGAAGAAGTGGTTCTTCAAGTTGCCCCTGTTGATGTAACTTACACCAATGAACCCATGGATATGGATGCACCCAGTGAAACCACAACTGGTGGTGGTCTTGTTGTTCATGATGACCAGCCTCGTAAAGCTGCAATGGAGTGGGCGAACACCATCACAGGTGTGGGACAAAGATTTCGGAGTTTTAAAGAATTTGTTGATGCCCTGCGCAAGTACTCAATGGCCCATGGATTTTCTTATGTATATAAGAAAAAGGACAGTCATCGTGTAACTGTCATATGCAGATCAGAAGGTTGTCCATGGCGCATAAATGCATCAAGGTTGGCCACCACCCAGTTAATCTTTATTAAGAAAATGAGTGCATCACATAAATGTGAAGGAACGGCCATCAAAGCCAGTTATCGGGCAACAAGGGAATGGGTAGAAACTATAATAAAGGACAAGTTGAAAGTCTTTCCAAATTACAAGCCGAGGGATATTGCAACTGACATCGAACGGGAGTATGGCATTCAACTGAGTTATGCTCGGGCACGGCGCGCAAAGGAGAGCGTTAGGGAACAGATTCAAGGTTCTTACAAAGAGGCATACAATCAGCTACCCTTATTCTGTGAGAGGATAATGGAGACTAATCCTGGCAGTGTTGCTACATTCGCTACAAAGGAGGACTCAAGCTTCCGTGGTCTCTTTGTCTCGTTTCATGCCTCAATATCTGGCTTCCAACAAGGTTGCCGTCCTCTCCTTTTCCTCAATAGCACTCCTATAAATTCCAAATATCAAGGGATGTTATTGGCGGCAACCGCGGCAGATGGGGATGATGGTGTTTTTCCAGTAGCTTTTGCTGTGGTAGATGTGGAGACTGATGACAACTGGCACTGGTTTCTGTCAGAACTGAAATCTGCGGTGTCAACATCTCGACCAATAACGTTTGTGGCAGATTTTCAGAAGGGGTTGAGAGAGTCATTGCGTGCTATATTTGCGGACAACTGCTACCATGGTTATTGTCTACACTACCTTACTGAGAAATTTAATAAAGATTTAAAGGGGCAGCTTTCATACGAAGCCCGGCATCTCTTGGTTCAAGATTTATATGCTGCTGCTAATGCATCGAAACTTGATGCTTTTGAACAAATTACTGCAAATATTAAATCCATCTCACCCGAAGCTTATAATTGGATAATACGAAGTGAGCCTGGTCAATGGGCCAATGTGTTTCTTGGAGGGGCAAGGTATGATCATATGACATCCGACTTTGGGCGAGCATTCTATTGTTGGGTATCAGAGGCAAATAATGTGCCAATAACTCAGCTGGTGGATATAATACGAGGTAAGATGATGGAATTGATATTTAAGCGACGGGTTGATTCCATTCAGTGGGTAACTAGGCTAACACCATCTATGGAGGAAAAGCTGCAGAGTGAGACTTCAAAAACACGCCCACTTCAAGTTTTAGCTCCCCATGGTAGCATATATAAAGTTCGTGGTGAATCTGTTGAGGAAGTTGACATTAATCTTTGGGACTGTAGCTGCAAAGTGTGGCAGCTGACAGGACTGCCTTGCTGCCATGCTATTGCTGTTTTTGAATGCATTGGTAGGAGCGCATACGACTATTCTGCCAGATACTTCACAGCTGAGTGTTACCGAATAACTTATGCAGAGTCAATTAACCCAGTTCCAAATTTTGACAGACCACAGTGTGAACTGGCTTCGGCAGCCATTACTGTGACTCCCCCATCCACCAAGCGTCCACCAGGCCGTCCAAAGATGAATCAGGCTGGATTAGAAGAGATGGTCAGACGCCAAGTCCAATGTAGCAAGTGCAAGGCCTTTGGCCACACTAAGAGGGCATGCAAGTAAGTGAGCTAGATGTACTTTCAAGCTGTATGACTCTTGACATCCTTGTTTGACAGTTTAGGCCTGTGTGCTTGATTAGTACAGTTAGTCTTTTGTTTATTGTAGATCACTTCCTACCATTGATCTTTGCATTGTCATTGCATTTTTTTGATGGTGAGTTAGGTTTCCTTGTATAATTAATAATGTTAACTAATAGTTGAAGAAATAGGGAGCTCACTGCATAAATCATTGGCAAAAAGCTGTGAAAATATTTGATATTTGTTGGTCGTCTTTGAGGCAATCCTAAGTTGTCGAGTTATCATCGCCGAATCAGCCAATACGGTTCCATGACCCCGTAATATGGTCTAAATCTCTTGTCATGTCATAGTGTCGCCTAATATCGTGTCGTGACCGATATGGTTCAGAGCCCTCGAGTTAATGTCGGATATTGCGACCTTGACCCATGTTTCTTATGTATGATTCTAGTCCAACAAGAAGATTAAACCTTCTGCCAATAGTGATGAGTGTTAACTGTTACTTGATAGTTATGCTTACCAAACCTAATTCGAGCAATCAGTTATCTGTTAATCTATATCTCCATAAATAATATATCTGCTTGCCCATTCGAATTGCACTATGTTTGAGTACGTGATATGATGATATCGTATATGAATATATGTGTATGTAGTCCTTTATACTAATCCTACACCTCTACGTGGCTCATGGCATCCGCACCAAATTCTTTGGCTGTCCACTCTTCAATTTCTTTCTCTTCTTTTTTCGGTTCTCAGTACTTTTACCTGTTGATAAGTTAAAAGGAAAGAAGTAGGGTAACACATATCGGATATAAGTTAAGGAAGAATCGACTTAAGTAGTTTGGACATATTTATAGACAGTTTACTATGGCACTAGTGAGAAATAGTGATATTGAAGATAAACGTAGGAGTAGATAAAGACTAAAATTAATTTTAAATGAAATAGTAAAAAATGATTTGGTAACTTGTGGTTTAACTGAAAATATTGTCCTTAATAGAGCTCAATGATGAAACGTGATTCATGAAGTCGAGTTGAGAATGTTTTTGAACACAGTGACAAAACATGATTCATCTAGCCGACCTTTTATTCAAAATTAATCCCCTAATTTGGACACGGTAACGTTTTTTCTTTGAAATTGTTGATGGATTTGAATGGAGGAACTTAATTGAAACAAGACAAAGTTTAGGGACTTAATTGTGTCAAGTGATAGTTTAGGGACCCAATAAAAATCAGATTTAAGTTTTAAAGTATGAAATATATTTTAGAATAATGTTATTTAAACTTAAAAAATTGATTTAATTTATTGAACTAATGTTGTGACAGTGACGTGACCTAATAGTGTTGTTGTGACTGTGGCAATGATACGTTATTATATTAACAAATTAGATCAATTTTTTAGATTCCAATGGCATTAGTCTTATATTTTATACAATATATCTGAAGTTGTTGCAGCAACCAGCAACTTCAGTAAGTTGGCTACTATGCGACTAAGTAACAGAGCAACTTGATCTCCATAGGATGGGTAAATATTGTGTGTAACGGTGACATCACGTCATTAATGTCATGTGATATTACTAATGAATTATAAAACAATAAGTAGGATTAGTAAATCTTACTATTCCAACATGTCATTTATTCGATACAATAAGGTGGTTATTGGTAGTTATTAAAATGGGTCTTTTGGAAGCGGGTACATCAAATTAGACATAATTGTAAAAAAGAACACAAAAAAAATATTTTGGAAAAAAGTACACAATTGAGATACAAAGACACAAATGCCTATTTTATAAAATTTTCTTTTCCAAAAATTGTAGCAAGACATTTATCTTAATCGCTGAAATTTAGAGTCATTTAATTCGAAATCTCTAATACACCTTGATTTATGCGTATTTTTTTTTTGAAAGTGATTTTGTTTTCAAACTATATTCATGCATTAAATATCTACTAATTTATTGGAGAATTTTAATATTTCGTTTATTTTAAGATATATCACTTGATATATAAAATTATTTACATTGTAACAAAAACGCAACAAATTCATTAAACAATAGTGTAACAATACACTGTAACAAAAACAATGTTAAGTGATTTTGTGCATGTGGTAACAAATTCAAAACAGAGATGGACTGTTTTTAATGAAATTATATGAAAATATATGTTTGACAAAATGTAATAGTATAATATTTTGTGTAAATGTCTTGTTACACTGTTATTATTATACTGTTATGAAGTTTGGATATTAATATAATTTGAAAATAAAACCACTTTTCAAAAAAAATACGTATGAACTCAGGTCCATTAAATATAATTTGAAAACAAAACCACTTTTCAAAAAAAAAAAAAAATAGGCATGAATTAAGGGAGAACATAAAGAAACGGAATATTAAAGTTCTCCTATAAAACTAGGAGGTGTTTAATGCATCATTTTCCAAAAAGAAAAAAATACGCATAAATTAAGGGAGGATATAAAGGTCAGAAGAAAATATTGAAATTTCAAATAATGCACTTGAAAATAAATAAGTATCAAATTTAAGAACTTTTTATCCTACATTTTTTTATGTGTATTTTTTTACAATTAACTCTAATTTGGTATACCTCTTTTAATTTCTCCTATTAAAATAGTATAGCCCACTAAATCCACTTGATATTCTATCATTGATTAGTGACATCATTTAACATTGATAGCGTGGTGTCACCGTTACATTAAATATTTTCTCCCATGAGAGGTAGGTCCTTCAACATGAAATTACTTTTCTAACCCTGACTTATAAGTGATTCGTCCACTAATCAAAATGAAAAATGAAAAATGAAAAATTTTCAAGTGCGCCTCTACTATGGTAGGTTTAAGCATATAGTAACAATATTCGGGCAACTGGCTGGAAGGTATGCATGTGCTTATGC